CTTAGTGTGTACGTTGTTGTATTACTTAATAACTTTCTTTTCTAAATAATTAAAATATATTTTTAAATACATGAGTACTCGTGTTTTTTATAATAGATTACATTTTTTTTCAGGAAACACGTGCATGTGTTTTCTTTAATCTATACATTTTTTTTCTTTCTTTAAACATTTTTTAAAATCATATGATATTTGTAAATTTTGTTTGGATAAATTAAATTTTAGGGTTTTATTAATAATTTTGTTTAAATCTTATTTTATTAGTTTTGGGTTTAGTAATATTTAGTTTGATTTGATAGAGATAAAATAGGAATGGGTAATTATGATTTTCTGTTTATCTAGGTAACATATTATTTTATGATAGAATAAGCATATTTTATTTTGAAGACAATTGATATTTTATTTTCAGATTTTATTTTTATTTTCGTAATATTGTAAGTATCACGACTATTTAAAGCTCTTCAATTATCAATGAATAACAAGATTCAATTTTAGAAAAATATCTGAGTGTGTATCATGAGATTTTTCCAACAGAGAGCTTTATGCTCTGAGTACCGAGAGAGAGAAAAAGTGAGTGCTTGATTTTATTGTGAGAGATGACAAAGGTTGTCAATAGTATGAGTGTGCCACAATTGACGAGAAAAACCAATTATGATAATTGGTGCCTACAGATGAAGGCGTTATTGAGATCCCAAGACATTTGGGATATGGTGGAAGACAGGTACGTTGAACCTGATGCGGACGAACATCAGACGGTGGCACAACTAGCAACATTGAAGAAAACATGTGCAAGAGATGGTCAGCATTGTATTTTCTCTACAATGTAGTAGATGAGTCGGGATTCGAAAAAATAGTGAATGCCAAATCAGCAAAGGAAGCTTGGAAGATATTGGAGGTTGCGTATAGAACCGCGTTAGACAAGTCCGAATACAAGCTTTTAGAGGAGAGTTTGAACAGTTGAAGATGGAGCCCAAAGAGCATATAACCGAGTACATAACTCGGGTGGAGAAGGTGGCCAACCAACTCGGGAGGAATGGAGAACAAGTGCCATCTAGCCGAGTTGTGGGAAAAATTTTGAGATCCCTTACAAAAGATTTCGAAAGTATCGTGTGCGCCATTGAAGAATCAAAGGACTTGTCAGTTCTCATAGTGGATGAACTTGTTGGGTCATTAGAAGCCCACAAACAAAGGAGAAGGAGTTGGGATGATCAGGTTGAACCCGCACTACAGGTACAGTTTGACTGGAATAAATCTCGGATTACTCAGAGCCGAGGTCCTGGCGGAAGAGGGCGAGGAGGCCGAGGTGGACGTGGTCGAGGTAATGATAATGAAGATCAAACCGGTCAGTAGAATTGACATGACCGAGAATAAGGAAAAGGCCGAGGAGATCAGTCAAGAGTAAGTGTGGCAAGTACGACCACTAAGCAAACGAGTATAGGTCAACAAAGTGCTACAACTGTGGCATGTTTGGTCATATTGCAAGACCGAGACAAAGGGGTGAGACGAATCTCGTTACTGAAGATGCAGAAGAACTGTTGCTAGCAAAGAGCTCGGATACAGTGAACATGGAAAATTCGGTCTCAATAGTGGATGAAGTGATCTCAGTAAAAGGTGCGACAAATGTGGAAAAGGAACTCAAACAAAAAGATGAAGAGATTCAGCGGATAGGGAGGCTTCTAGATGAAGCTAATGAAATTATGAATAAACAAAGGGTTGAGCTTGAGGAGTTAAAGCAGACGACTCCTGAAAAGGAAGAGAAAACATTTAGCGTTATTGAACCAGATAAAAATAGGGAAGAAGATGAAGAAGAGATGAAGGCTGATGAGATTTCTACCAACTCAGTATGGTATCTAGATACTGGAGCAAGCAATCATATGTGTGGGAATAAGAACTTTTTTTATGAACTCACCAAGGTGGAGGCCAAATTTGTGTCTTTTGGAGATGACTCCAAGGTAGCCGTGAAAGGGCGTGGAACAATTAGACATATTCAAAATAATGGACAAGTTGGAGAGATTAGGGATGTTTATTATGTTCCGAGTTGTATGAACTAGAGCTGAAAATCTTGGAGAGAAGATGTTTGAAACAAAACATGACTAGCAAGAGCTTGGATAACTCCAACTCAAATCTGATTGAAAGAAGCAAACCCGGTGTGGGATGATGCACATGGAAAGCAAAGAAGGAAGAATTTAAGTTTATGGAGGAGTTTGTTGGGACAAACTTAAATTTTAGGGTTTTATTAATAATTTTGTTTAAATCTTATTTTATTAGTTTTGGGTCTAGTAATATTTAGTTTGATTTGATAGAGATAAAATAGGCATGTGGAGTTATGATTTTTTGTTTATCTAGGTAAAATATTATTTTATGATAGAATAAGCAGATTTTATTTTGAAGACAGTTGATATTTTATTTTCAGATTTTATTTTTATTTTCGTGATATTGTAAGTATCACGACTATTTAAAGCCCTTCAATTATCAATGAATAACAAGACTCAATTTTAGAAAAATATCTGAGTGTGTATCGTGAGATTTTCCCAACAAATTTAATTAAAGGTATTGCCTTCAGACACAAGCGTAGCAGGGTGTTGATTCCTTCCTTATGCGCAACTGATTCTTGAACCCAAAATTCGGATTACATAGACAATGTCTTCTTTCATAGTTTTTCATAGTTTTTCCAGAATAAGCTATGAGGATGACTCCAAAACCTCTTTATAAACTCATTACTTTATGGTTAAGCGTCTCGTTGCAAGTTAGGTTGTGACAATCACATATCGCCCGAGACAGTGGGACAAAGTCTCCAATCAAATCAAGATTCAATCATGAGGATTAAGTGTTGAGTTGTAACTTAAAATCGAGGAGAAATCCACCATGTTTTAATGACTTAAATGAGTAAAATGTTTCTTATAGCTATTGTAGAGGTATAATTTGGTGTATTGTCACAGTTTTATCATTATCTTTTTCCTTGTGGTGATTGGGGTTGTTAATTGTATTAATCATGACAATGAGTTTATGTCTTGTGAATGAGGTTAAGATTGAGTTTTATCGAGTCCATAGTGAACATTAATTTGTTTCAGTATAAGATTAAGAGCTTTTATAAGAAACAAAAGATATTCAGATCTCTCTTATCTCAAAAGTAAATAATACTAAAACAAAAAATATACTGTGCGGGTTAATACTTTTTATAGATAAAATAGTTACAAATCCGTTTTATTTTCTAAAAATAATAGAGTATTTGAATTATATATTAACAAAATATAAAAATGACAAAGATAATAACAAATTGGTAAAGAGATAATAACTACTTATCTAGTCTTTTGTATCACTACATATAATATTTTCTTATTTTTAATAAAATTTAAACAAAATATATAACGAATTTAGACCTAATTTCTGAATTCCGACTTTTGAATATCTTATCCATCTTTAAGATAAAAAAGTAAAATGATGAATTATTATTCTATTGTAAAAAAACGTTAATATTTCATTAAATGGAATATTTATAATTTAAATGATCGATGTGTTTTTTATTTTATATTTAACATTTTATAAAAATGCAAGGAAAATAAGAGAGCAAATATTTATGGAGAAATAAAGAAGAAAAAATAAGCACAATTCATATTTATTTGTGTATTATACTTATGTAATATTATTTCTAACAACCTTATTTTTCTATATTATTTCAAAAGTTATATCTTGACATGACATTTTTGGTAATCAGCAGTTCACCGCAGCTGTTAGAACAATACGATCAGCACCTGATACACAAAAGTAAATTATTAAAAAGATGGAAAAATATAACAAAATGTAATCTTAAATAATACATATAAATGATTAAAATAAAGAATAATATTGTAAGAAAGTGAATTACCTATATTAGATTTGGTCACACTGCAACTATTAACGCATTCATTGTGAACATTGCGATGAGAATTATCACAGTCAGGCTTGCATCGATTATAACAGTCGTCACCTTTTAGTATACATTTAAAGAAACAAAATACACTACAATTTTTGTCAATAGTAACCTCCTTAGCTCCTGTACAACCCAACATAAGAAAATAGCAGATTGAATAAAATAAAATGAAATCTAAATTAATAATTAAAAAATTACATTAAATAAACTCCTTATAGAAAAGAAGTTATTAAACCTAAATTAAATATTTATAATAAATAAAATAAATTAATGTGATAAGAAATTGAATACCTGTATTAATAGAAGGAATTTTGGCCGCAATACAAGTATTAAAACAATTATCGTAGACAGGAACATATTTTCCAGCACATGATTTTTGTTCAGGTGTAATGTGAATGGCCTGTGTGCAACCCAAGATAACCATCATCATAACTACAATTATCTTCATCCTTTTCTCTTTATCTCTAAAACCACCTTAGAATTTTCTATAGATTTTTAAAATCTGGTTATATGTTTCAAGGAAAATATGTACCAATTTATAGAAAAAAAATACAATATAATGAATTTAAATATTCTCTAGTCCATGATCTTAGTCACTCTTTTTTAGTAAATTTGTTCAAGATATTTTAAAATTCCAATAGATTTAATTTTTTTTTCCTTTTATTATACAATTATTTGTGTTATTATTAAAAATAGAAAGAATTTAATTAAAAATTAATAATTAATGAATTATTCTAGTGATTGGACTCTTTATCTTGTCAGTGTATTGGTAGAAACTCATAAGTTATTTCCTTTTAATTGTCATATTTTTAAAAATCACGTGGTGTATTACAATTAATTAATTAGAAAAGTATCTATTAACAAGAGCCAAAATATTATATTAGTAAAAACAAAACTGATAAGTTAATTAAATTTATTGGTATGTGTAATTAAAAAAATGTTTTAATAGTGATGGCGGTCAACAGAACTTTTAGTAACATTAAATTAAAAGTTTCTACATAAACTAGTTAATAATTATTTTTTTATCATGAAATAATTTTTCATTTTTTATTTAATGAGTACAATTTTTAGTAAACATTAAAAGTATCAATATAAATTAATTAAGAATTATTTATTATCACTTGTTAATTTTATATTGTTTATTTAATGAGTTATTAAAATTTTACAACACAAGAAATGCATATTTAAATGTCTTAAAATAGGCTATTTAAAAATCTAATGAAACATCAACAATACAATAATATTAAGGCATCCTAATTTTATGTCGTGTATAAAATAATTCTAAATAACAGTTACGGAATGAAATTAAATAATAAAAATTTTAAATAATTTTAAAGAAAGAATACAGAAACAATCATATAAAATTATAGTGCTTTTTGTATTGATATAATAAAACATAATCAATCTCCTTTACAAATTTATACTATTTTTCATTTTTCATTTTGGGTTGCACATTTATTTTGCTGTAGAGCTATATCATATTCTATTGAACTAGAGGCATTTTGTCGCCGTTACGAAAGATTGCAGTATCAAAATATCTGCATTTGTTGATGGAGAAGGATAGGTGTCATGTGCTCACACAAAAAATCATTAATTTATTTCAAAGAATATGAAATACTGATAGAACAAAATTAAGAGTACACAAGAGAAACTTAGTACAATCATAACTTACATGTATCTAATGTATATAGTCTTTTCCGCTCCAAAGCTTTTCTGGATGATAAAGACCACTTTTATTTTCTTGTAAATTTATTTTGTTGCATTTATTTGTATATTCGTTAATCTAAATGAATTGTTAATCATGCAATTAATTAGTGTTACACGAGTCTCTTGAAAAATAATACTTGGTCTTACCATTTTATATTATTTGAACAATTCAGTATATTTGTCGAAGGTCCTGACATGGAGCACTAGTTTCATACACGTTGATATTTGGGGACATTCCCCACTCCTGCATGGGCATATTTAACTTTTTAACTATTATCTCATGTAAAATAAATTTGAAACTACATGTTATTTGCTTCATTGGTTGAAAATCAATTTGAGCCCAAAGTCAAAAGTGATTCAAAGTGACAATTGTATGAGTTTAACAAATCTAATTTTTAATCTAAGGGTATAATTCATCAAACAACCTCTGTTGAAACCCAAAACAAAATGGGATAGTAGGAGGAGATATCAACACATTTTGAGTGTTATTAAGTCTTTGTTATTTCAATTCAAACCATCTAATCAATTATGGTCATATGATTTGTACATGTTATTTTTCTAATCAATAATATCCTACACCTTTTCTTAATAACTCCATTGTATAAAAACTATACAATAAACTGTGATTTTCAATCTATCAGAATATTTGGTTGCTTATGCTTTGCTCATACTAAAAGGACAAAGTTCGATTCTCGTACTAGGGCAAGAATATGTTATTTTTTATCTATAAAGCCATGATATCAAAGTTTCCCTCAGTGTGAGTTTTACGAAGATGTTTTTCCTAGCTGTCACAATATTGACAACACTGTTAATGATCAAATATGTTAATGATCAAATATGTTTGTGTGCAAGATATAGAATATGAAAATTTTGATCCACAAAATATTGATATTATTAATTATTACTCCGGATGAATTATGCACTAATAATATATA